GGACAGCCAAGTGTGACACAAAGCCATACGGCGGTCTATATTCATGATATATATGAAGAACACCCTTGAGTAATTAGGTCAGCATTGCTTATTTGAGAATAAACTTGCTGAATTGTTTCCCCTTCTTTACATCATACTTTTACATATTCATTAAACATGATTTTCACTTATGCCAGAAAATATTAAACTTATTAACAGGGACAAAAATTCAAAATCACCTCAGCCTCTTTCAACAGTCAGTGAAGTGGAAGTTGGGTGTAATCTTTCATGTTGAAGAGGTCATAATCCTGCATCAACTCAAATGACTAACTGGGACATAGGTTCCGCGTGCCTAGTTATCGTCTACCTCATCGCACAGTGATAGCTGAAGTGGGTTTGGGTTGGGGAAGGGTTACAGGTGACCAGACACAGGCATGGTACCACTCCATAAAGTCTTCAACTGTCGGTTTGAACCGTATGCGGAAATGTAGACTTCCCATTCGGTGTCGACGTCATTACCATAACCGAGGACTCTACGAGATATGAGTCAGAATCGAATCCACTGAGTCACAATATCGTTTTACTCTTTCTCGTTCTCTTCTTACGAGTTCTGACTACTTTCTTCCTTATTTCTTGACCTGAGTTGTGGCAACTAGAACCGTCATGCCCTAATGCTACGGTCGAGGATGTTGATAACGACCGACACAAGTCCACATTTACGTGTCACCAGAAGAATAGAAAGATGGCCGGTAACTCGATTTTGTGGGGAAATGCGTTAGACCGGAAAACAAGACAGGTTAGTCGTCAACTTCCTCCACATAAAATGTAAACTAAATATTCGTGCTTAACCTCGGTCAAAGGTTGTGCGCGTTATTGACAACTAACCAACCAACTATTGACCAATAGATTTGGGGTGGAAATTCTTCTGTATTAAACCTGGCAGTCATTGGTTCACTAAAATGACTACATAAACAGCTCTGTTCTTACTTGATAATAGCTTTCTCCCGAAGGAATACATCTTTTCTTCCGTGTCCGTCGGCAGTGTGGGAACATCGGTCGGTATCCAGCATATCGTGACGTGTCATATGTTATGGGTCCACAACGACAGCTTCCAAACGCGCAACCCATCATGCCGTACTCGGCCACTTTGATAAGCCCAAAACATTTTGTGCCATATCACATACTTTCAAACAACTTGCTCATTGAATAAGGTTTGCAGAAGTACAGAAAAGGCTATTCACTGGCTTCCAAACTCCCTCGGCAACGCACACTGACAACTGTCAACAAACAAGTGTGAATCACCTTACTCACTCATCTCTCTTGCCACACTATGCATCTTCGTTAAAAATACTTGACCGTCTAACCAGTTCACATCTTACTAACACTGTCACTTCCCGCCAGTCAGTCATTCTTTGATTTCGACTCACTTGCATCTTTAAACTTCATGTTATGATTCATCTTTTTGAAAGTACTATTGCTAAAATTAGACTGTAAACTTAATTTCAACTTGAATTGGCCTGCGTTACTCAAACATCTGGTTTCCAGATTTCTTTCCGTCCTATCTCACCATAAAACTCATTTCGTTTCCACTGGAATCGAGCGTGAAGTGGAAGCGAAGGCAACAAAACAGAATCATTCCAACGTCCTCTCAGAATATCAATAACACTAAAGAACTTAAACTGTATGCTACATTTTAAGCACCTTGACACTCCTCCTTGCCAAAGACGAAAACCTGGTACACAGTAAACACACTCCACTAACAAACAACTGAAGAGAGAATACAAATTGTCATACAATGTAGACGTGTCCACATCGAAACTTCTTGTTACTTGCCATAAGCATTCAGTGGACTCAATAAAATTTATTTCAATTACACTTGTGGTGTTTGTTTCAGACACGAATATTGATGACAATGGCCACACTTATTTCTCAAGTGAACAATATCCATGATTATGCAAACTAGAGTAAAACTAAACTAAACCGGCGAGACCACTTTCACCTGAACACACTATTCTAATCTACAGTGGCTATTGGGTTCTTAGTTTAGTAATGTAAGAAACACACCTCAACCAACTAACAACTGACAGCTGAAATAATCACAAATTTCCCATTTAGATCCATCCTCTGAGTAGCATTTCGCTGACCCAACAATACCAGGGAAGTTTGTTGCTACTTGTTGCAACCGTAACTTGGGTATATGGGTGGGCTGATTCGACTGGCTTTGTCTAGGTTAAGTCGAAAGATTGTATTGTAACCCCACCGACTGTTTATACTTCTAACAATGTCCAGACAACAACAAGGCAAAGACATTTATCAATTAAATTATAACACGAAAATATGACCACAGTGAAGCAGCGATCATCTGACCTTCAAATAACCAGTAGCCCGTTACAGGGTTGTAGGCGACTGAGGAAATGAAGGCCCCAATCTATCTGATTTTACAGCAATCACTGGACTCAAGAACCTGTCCCGACCACACTTTGTATTCCCCCAGTAAACAAATTGGCTAAAACCATATCATTCATAAGAATGAAAGTCAGCTAACCTCTCTTACCAGGAAGAAGTTTTATGAAGGAAATCATCGACTTGTGTCTCGGTCATCAGCTAGTGATAAACAACCAGTGTGAAATCGACCATTTCACAACTTGGCAGAACACTAATCACATTGTCAACATTCCCATTTAGCGCGGTACTATATGGACACCTGAGTTCAGCTACATCTTATTCCGTCGGTCACACAATCAGAACTACAATCCTATCTGCACTGCAAACACAAGTTAGTTTAACAAAATATTTATACCACTTCCACTCCAAGTTAAATTCATGCAGTCTTGCCACAGCATCACTCCATCTCTTCTTTCACACGAGTGGACAGTACAACTTTATGTAATCCTATCAACTCCCTTTGTAGTGTTAGTGATGTTAACCACATATTTCAGCTTTGCATTCACCCACATATTACACTACCCCAAACCAAATCACAAATTGTGAATGTACACGGTAATCGACACCTTTCGGTTACACTTGTACATCCGACAAATTTCATCTCACGTACAAATTCTATGCCACTTACGCTGACATCTTTATCCGCATTTTAAAACATCGCGTCAAAACACATTCAAAGCAGCAAATGACTGCACAGATTGAATATCTGCTGCTACTCAAACCTTAGTTATTTGCATCCCCACAATCATATACTGCTCAAAATACACTAATTTATTCACTTCGAAAAAGGCTCTTGCATTGCACCAAAATCCAACTCAATACCCTTGAGTCAAAGCAAATAACCAAATTCTTGGTGCAGTGAAAAAGAGACAGTGAACAAAGCACTTAGTCGACCTGACCAGATAAACTATACTGCCTATGAAACACAAATTATCTGGATATCTTGATCTGGCTGTCTAAACGTATTTCCTTACTATCCCCACTACTACGACACAACACACACACAAACATGGCCTCGCCATCTCAGTCAACACTGTTTTGCAGCTTGCTCAAATAACATGTACAAGTTTGAGTATTTCCACCATCCGTTATCTTCAAATTGTTTATTCTCCCATACACCTTTGATATCACTCCTTTTTGTATCCATCTGTTCCTTGTATACTACCATGAAGTGTAACAACTTGACCCAATGCACCTGTGTGCGAGGTTCCACGTTGATTTTTTGTGTCTGACACCAATAGTGAATCTAAAAGCAAGAAAATGACATTACCTTCTAGAATATTTTGTCGTCAGGACAATTTCAGAACGCCAGGTGAACAAAACCTACAGTACACGGATGCAATCGGTAAGTGAAAATGCTACTAGCTAACTGAGTGCATATCCACACAATAGGGGGACAGAGGACTTAAGACGACATTTCTTATGAATGCTAACGACACTACATGACTGACCACGTCGAAGAAGACGCAATCTGTATCCACAACAAGCAGTCACATCAGATCTCATTTCAACTTGGCAATCAACAGAGGTGAGATTATTTGAGTCGGTGAAATATTCAAAGCACGACCGGCTCATCACTCTACAATGACCATCAATGACTTCAGACAACCGACTAATCCTGATTTGATTTGAAAATAGAAGAAGCTATGATACACCTCACCATCAATATTCAAGAAACTTAACATTCAAACCAAAAACACATACACTTGCTATTCTATACACACTGTCACACATACACCAATTCGCTCAAGAAAATGCTGACGCATGCCGAGAAAACTCCAACACCAGCTGTACAGTATTATATGCAGGTAGTCACTTATTCTAGATGCTGAATCACTGCTAGGCACTCCTTCACTCTAGTGACTTGTGAAGGTGGGTGGTTATTGATCAATAAATGCCTACCGTCTATTCAGTTGTAGGTTGAAAGAATTTGAATGAATAAATTAAGCCTTATTAGGCTGAGAGATGCTAACACCCACTCAAACAGAACACTATAGAATACTCTACACACAATATAATGACACTTTCAGATCAATAAATGAACTTAATTGGTGATAACAGTTGGCAAGATGCACAATACTTGAAATATGAAAATTTACAAATACCGTAGCGTAGCACAAATAAAACTTTCTAACTTGAATACACGTTAGCACCAAGTTTTAGTAGAAATGATTTTATAAACACGAAGTTAAACAGTGAGACAGGTACAACACACTCTGGCCGATATCACAGAAACTCAACACCTCAACTTCCCCTTCCATTTTACAACAGTACAGACAAACAGAATCGAGAAACAAGGAAGATGTTGAAACAAAACAAGCAACAAAACAAATGACTCTGAAGTGAGATGATGCAATTAGGATTAAGTCAGGCGTTCGTAAAATACACACTCAACTTAACTGATTCTCGGGTGTGACCGGTCCAATCAAGAAGCCAGTCAGAATCTGGCTGGCTTGAACAATTCCGTGCCCTCAACTGAAACACCCACCCAAAAACAAGCCAAACCGTAGTCCAGTGCTTAGATCACCTTGGTCTCTACTAACCACTGCTGATCGGTGTCAGTAGTCAACAAAGACTCCTACCAGTCACTAGTATACTTCACACAAACATGTAACAAGACCTTTAGGAAAACAAGGAATAAAAAATTAGGTGTCTTTGTAATCCATTTTAAGCCGAATCATCTAACATCTCGAATCACTGACTCCAAACCTACCACGAAGTTAAGCTACACAAACAAGTTGTTGCAACTAATCAACTTCAACTGAAAAGAAAGACACAATGCGCATATGAATTCTAGTTAAGTCACTGTGTGCAGATTAAATCGCCCGCCTCAAATCCTCGGATATTATTATTTCAAGCATCAACTAATGAACAGAAAAATATACTCTCCCTGTCTTTAAAAACTGTATATTTCACTGTGCATTGGAAACACTGAACAGTTCACATTTAAATACCGTCAGAATAAAAGCTAAAAATCAAGCAAGATACAGTCTACTTCATAGATTGAAAAAGCGCATGTTGTCCTGATATACATCTTAGTGGAATAATGCAACAAATAAGTGTTGTGCTGATCTCACATATTATCAAAAAGAATCCAGATCATTTAGGCGAGAATTACAGGGATGTGGTGGATAGATCAACCTCCTTCACATTGAACTTCTCAGCTTATGACACGACGAACAAACGCTGTGATGGTGGAAAGAGAAAAAAAGAAAACAACATGTTTATGCTGATGTCTGGATGATGCTAATTCACCCACTCTGACAAACCAATGACAAATTTCAATGCTTTCAACGTCAAAATTTGCATTATTGAGAAAACTAGTTTTGAATTCTCTTCATTCCCACAGAAATGCCTTGCTGACGGGATGTCAACAAACACGAGGCTTTGGTCCACGAATTCCCGCTGACTGACTGGCCTCAAACTAACACTAAAAAACAGAGCACCTCAGTATTAGATCACTTAGCCTAACGACCACAATGCAAACTTGATTCACAGACTTCCACGACCACAACAGTTTTCCACTGGTAGCCTGACCAGTTTCTGTGAAGACTCATGTCGAAGTCGAAGAACAATTAATAACCTTACCCACAGTCGTGCAGTAGGCAGTGAGCCACACTTATTGTGTGAGGCTTAATGATACCACCTGGTTGCCAAAACCCCCATAGGTGAAGCGCTATTCGAAACCGTGATCCATTGCTTGAGAATCACCTCCTAAAACTAATGAACCACACCACAGCTCCACGATGGCTAATGTAGTTAGGTGGATGCAGAGGTTGGTTGCTGAATCCTTCTTCATCGATTCGACGCCTAACACGTGCAACAATAATGATTTAACACTGATCCCACATGTATGGAAAGTTCAACTACAAATGAAGTCAGAGAACAAGAAGCGGTAAGACTGTAAAAACTAGGCCAACGAGCTCTCGAATTACCTTGATATGATGAGAAATAAGTTGTGCCCGCAACGTTATCCAGTAAATATACCATCACATCACTGTGTTCTATATCGAGTAAGCTTTTACACGGCTGCGTGAGTTTGAGTAGAGAGCTTAGATTAGCATGATATACCTGCTCGGTACCCCTTTCACAGTCAGACACTGCCACAACACCTCACAATCGACAAAATCAAATGACGCCTTCGGGTCAACAAATATGACAAGTATCAATTGTCGGTGAATACGCCTGTTGCAGAACCTGTCGGAGAGTGAAAATCTGATCGATGCATCCTCGTCCAGGTCTGAGATCTGCCTGGTTTTCTCGAGTTTAGTGTTTTTGAGCTCCAGTGAGGCATCGGTTAACTACAGATTCTAGGACCTTGGACACCATACAAATCAAACTAATTTCCCCGTGGTTGTCACATGAAGATTTCTCTCCCTTCTTATAGACTGGGATGATCAGTGAAGAAGACCAGTCTGATGGGACTGCCTCTGATTTCCATGCACTACCCAGTACACGTATTCCTCCAATGAGCGATCTCCTACCTCCAAGATGCCTTTCCGATTGCATCAGCTTCCTTACTTCAGCGTCAAAGTCACTTGCCATTATGACTACGTCTGGACGCTTAGTTACCTGTAGCACAGTTGACAGCTTGTCATCAAATTCATCCTTCACATCATCCGAACTACAATTGATGAGTGCTTAGGTGGAGGCCACGAACAGGCATCAGTTGGTCTCACGATCCTTCTTAGATTTTACTGATCCATTCAGTCGAACGGCGCATAGACGGCTGTTGACTGGTATTCAGTCGAGAAATGCACTTTCTGTTTTACAGCTCATTGCTGTGTCTACACCAGGGAGCCCACGATAGCTATCCACTGGGTCTTCGGATACTAGTAAAGTACATTTTGAAGATTTACAGCAATGATCAATTTAATGACAACACAGGTCCTGTATAAGTGTCTCAGAGACACGGCATACACATATAGCTAGAGATCCCAGAGTCCTGGCGAGTGATGTTTGCTGTCCGATTTGGCATAGAGTTTGGACGTTGAAAGCTCCTACGTGAAATGGATGACGGAGTCTTACGAGACTCAAAACGAGCTTCCAATGGTTTTGATCGTTGACAATGGTCGCGAACTGAGAGGTTGAGGAAGGTCTAAGAGGCTTTTAATTTTGATATCATGAGGTGAAGGCAAAGGAGGAGACCTAGTTCATACTTGATTGGGTCTTCAATACTACTGAGAGCATGAGGGAGGTTGACACTTCTAGGCCTCCCACAACCCGGAAGGATATTTCTTTCTAAGGTATTTGAAAGATACAAAGTTTCGTGACCACAGAGCATATCGGACATCCACTTGAGGCCTGTCACATATAGCCTTTTGATGATTGCTGGTGTAAGATTTGATTGGTTTAACACCAGATAGAAAAATCTCATCCCGTCGGCACTGGAAGACTGTGAGAAAAGGAGGGTGACACTTACGGGGTCAACCTTTTCTAAACCCCCTCTTCCCATGAGAAAGGCAGCATCAGCATGGGACTGTTGGTTGTCCAAGGGAAACACCTTACTCCTGGCACACCCCAATCCAGCCGTCAGTATGAATTCGCCCTCAGATCCCCATCGTAGTGTAGTAGCTGCTCGTCGTCTCAACACCATACAACAGACCTTTTTGACACGAGGTAAAAGGCGTTCAAGCCAGTGTACCTCTTTCGGTCGTTGTGATATACAAACCCGACCATTACGTCAAGGTAACAGCTACCCGTCAGGGACACCAACATCTACTGAGTGAAAGCAAGTTCCAAGACCGGTGATGCATATGCCTCAGCTTATTCCACGGTTTGGATACTACACTTTGCTATATGCGAAAACAGTATTACCACTGGAAAATCAATTGACTAGTACTGAAAATTAGAGACAAAAGTGTCCATACAAGTATACTCTCTAGAGTTGAGTGTATGTGAATTTCAAAATGAATACACGAATGAGATTAAATGCAAACACGTGTAAAAGTCTGACGCGATTCCGATCCCTATACACTACTTACTGCCTAGTAACTCCGTTGCTCTACTCAGTAATTTCTTACCTCCTTCCTTAAAAACTTCCGTGAAAAACCGTCAGGTTCCGCTGACTTGTGGTGTTTCAGTTATGAAAAAAGACTTCTCAACTTCGAGGACAGTTCCAAGACCAACATCTACGTACCACTCAGGTTTGGACTGAACGTTGGGCAACTGTAGGACTGCTGTGAACCTGTTGAACTGTCTTCCGCCCAACATTCTAGTCATCTGTCCTCAACGGTTATCGTGGATCCATTTTTTCCGCAAAGGTCTCACCGGCAATCATCTTCTTCTTGCCAGTATCCTTAATAAGCCTTAACGATTGCTTTGTGCTGATGTCCTTGTCACCTTTGCTACCCATTACTGATTGTGATCATTACGAAGACTATTGTCAATTTGCGTTTGAGCTACTCTCACCAACTGGAATCAGTCTTCTCGCATCAATCGGTGGAGATGAGCCTGTGGAGATCTACTAACAAGAACTCCGTTGCACGAAGCAAACAATACTCACTGAAAAGCTACAGTAAGTAGTGATAAAAATATGAAAATCTTGTGCTGCACTTCAGTATACTTTGCTGTGCTTAGTGTAAATTTACTCTCATGTGGTTTATACTTCTACTCGACAATATGTATTGCTCTTACGAGATTTTCTTAGTATTCGACTGTAATCATTTCTTGTGTTTCCCGACGTCACCTCGTACACTACTTATGTGCATTCCTAAACATAGCTTCCACCACACTACTGCATTCTCATTCGTCAGCATACTGTACTTGCTTAAAATAAATCCTTCATAAATACAGATCAGCACTCTAACTTTAGTGAATTCTTTTGAAAAACACTTTATGAAGATCATGAGGATATCTGAGTACATGCCTTATGGATTGTTTTCGCTTTTCAAACAGTTAATTTGATAAGCGTGACCCAGTAACCTGTTACAAGTTTATGTACTAAGCCACGAGAACGCCTAACCAGTTATAGAATTAGGTGGAGATAAATTGAGCAAACATGAACCCAGTCAACATTTTTGCAGGGAAATTTTGGGGACATTTCCAGAACAGGGAGTAAATTGTAGGAAACGCCAGGGAACATGGGGCACATAGGGAAAAACGCGGAGAAATTTGTGCGGAAACCGGTGCAGAACACGGAGGTGGAAGTGTTGCAAAATCGGGCGTTTCACCCCAAGCTTTCACTGCAATTTGCAACATGTCTCTTTGCTTTGACCCGCGTAAATGTTGACTGGCAACTTTTAGGTAGTGGCCAGCAGTTGAAAACCTAAACTAATCAGCCACATTACATTAGGACGTTTTAAAGCATATGAGTCCACAAGCACTCAACAGATTAGGATTTCGTATCAGTTATTACTAACACGCAAAACACCATAAATGAAACACAACGAACAACTTACCTTCATACGGTACTAGACCTTGACTGTTTTCAAGACCAGATAATAAAATATCCACTTCATCATCACGCAGTTTTTCACCAAATGCTGTCAGCAAATGTCTAAGTTCAGCTGCACTTATCAATCCATTATCATCTTTATCAAAGACACGAAACGACTCAATAAAAGCTTCTGGTTCAACTTCCAATTGTTCTTTTGACAAACCTTGATAAATGGGAACAAAAGACTCGAAACTGATACGTTCATCTGCAAAAGAAAAACACAAGAGAAATCTAATCGATTAACTGACAGCAATGATCTCAGTGTAAAAGAGTGCATCAAAACCATCTTCTCAATTATTAAACATGTTGCGGTTGCGCTGTATCGTGAGCTAACAGAAGCTGGAAATACGGACGATTGGGTTCTGACCCAGTGGCTCAATGGTAACATGCTGGCCATGGAACCTGAAATTCGTGGGTGCGCACTGCTGAGGAGTCCCAAGTCCCATATTAGGACGAAACAGCTGTCCAGTGCTCCCAGGTTTCCTTTTTCCTCCAACTGATGTCAGACTACGACAAATAACAACTTGAAATGTTTCCAGATCCCCACAATTCCCTCAAAATTCAATTAAACATGTCTTTAAGGACAAGAGTAATAACCCTTTAACATCTACGCACACCCAATCTTACGAAAAACACAGTTATGGTTAGGGATAACTGCACTACTCGGTTGCCGAGACAGTGGTATGTGAACTGAGGATTCTCTGATTGGAGGTCGACTATCAGAAAAAATATTTCAATTTGGGACTTCGTACGGGTTTATCGATTTCAGGTAGGTCATCATCATCATTATCAACATAGGACCAGGCATTACTGCGTAACGGTCCAAGTCGCCACACCTCATATCAGCACATCAAGTAAAAAGGTATTGAGGCGAAGGATGAAGATAAGTGGATGCAGTCAAAAGAAATATAAAGTACGAGAAGAAAGGAAGAGGAGTGACAAAATGATGAGATTCGGTATAGCGTTGTTAAGATGAGGATAATGTGTGTATACATCTGCGCCACTGACCTCGGTTCTGAGCCATATCACCTAGGGTCTCCAACTGATGTCAGTCCATATTTGCCTGGTTGTCTTTAGTCATTACCAACATGATCCGAAATTCAGCTGTCAGCACACCCGTTTGTTTGGAAGCTTGGAACTAATGGAATGAGTCCTGGTTGGTTCAATACAAATGTGTAGATAGGAAGTTATATTGTTTATTCCCTTCAACAATATTAAGCCTTGCAAAATACAATTATCTCTTTTTGTCACTTATCTCACAGAGACAATGCCGTATTAACACTCTTTTCACAACTAAAAGACAACAAAACATACTTGGATGATTTTGATAACCGTATTTGCTGATGTCTGACTCCGTCGGATTCAGCCCCAGTGCACGCACAACTTCACTCACATCCTTCGCAGAGATTTTCTCATCTCCTTTCGAGTCGAATAGTAGAAATGTTTCGTGGACATCTATTTACAATTACCAAATCATAGAAAACCTACCGTTAAGGTCTTTCTCGCTCAAATCAACCTAGTAATCAACCAACAAATACAAAGAAGATGTAACAACGTACCATTGTGAATGTAGTCAGTCTGCTTGTACTGACACAAGTAAACACAGCGAGAAACTGAAGATGACAGTCCTCCAAACAAGTGTGAAATCTACAAGTTAAAGCATAGCAAAATTACCATAAACAGAAGACCACTGAGAATCACACATTACAATAAACAACAGCAGATCAGAACAAACATCTAGGCGAATGCATGCTCGTTAGGTCAGCCAATACACTCAAAGTGGTCGATCGTCATTATAAACACGGGACCCTACATTACTGCATAACAGCTAAGGGGACAAAGCAGACGATGAAATGTTCACCATGAACGGTGAACAAGGGAATAAGGATAAAACTACAGGCATCTATCAATAAAATGTGCAGGACTGCGGTGAAAATCAAGGTAATTACGTTTGCACTAGTGTATTCGACTTCCAATGGCATCTCGCAAACTCTAGTACGGTAACTTTTACAGTTAACGCTGACCGTCAATAAGTTTTACAACTTATTTAACTTCTTAAATTAAATATTAGTTTTTTTCACAGTTACTGTACCACGACTAAGTGTACATATGCATAGTCAACAGCATGCTAGGACTAATATGCTTCCCTATTTATAAACCACCTCAGCTGACTGAGCAACAGTAGCCTGATATTATTTCAACCTCCAAAATGCAATCCCAAACTTCGCGCGTGTGAGACAAAGTGTTAACTGGCATCGTTCTGATTGGTCAGTATTATAAGTCCCTCAGAAAAGCCGAGGTGCTACTTTCTAATCTTGTTAACCTCTAGGATTAGTTCTCACGCTGTATGGACGCATCAGTGTAACAATCGGCATTGTTGAAAGAGCACCAAAATATCTTTCAGATAGAATGTTGAACCAGTAAATTTGGTGGCTCAATTCAGACAACTTGTGAGGATTAGAAGCTTAGAAACATGGCAGGTGTGTGAAGCGTGCATCAGACGATTTCAAGAGTTGAATTGCTTAATTAATGAAGTAATCATTAAGTTCTAAAGGAAACTAACATTTTGTACCGGATTTGTCGTTTTCTCATAAATAGGGTGGGGAAAAATAACGTAGACCAGGCATTCAAGTTCGAGTGTGCTGTTTCTCGTTGCCACGTTGGTCGATGAGGGAAGTCAGGAAGTAGCGATCAGCGGAAATCACAGTAAGTGCTGTAATAAATCTACTACATATACATTGGAGTTTCAAGCTCTTGGGTTGCCCAATCACCTTCCATTATAAACTGAGTCTTTGGTGTCATGAGTTTGTAGAGCCTGTTGACACTATACGTAGCCACGACATGTCATCAGAGCCATTATCTGTGAGACCAGGAGTTCGAAGACTCTATGATGAACGGCAAAGGAAGATTTTACCTCTGAACGAACAGAATGCACCACTAGGTCACATTATTAATGTGTCTGACGTAGAGTTCAGGAAGCTAATGACGTACGGCGACTATCGAAACTTCCGGAAACTGATCTACCCCAGTAATGTGACACGTTTGTTTCATAAAGTACGTAGATTTCTGTCTTGTGATTTCCGTGAGTCTTCTTGAACGTTACTTCACTTCTTTGCAGACGTAATCCGACACTCTACAAGATGGTTACGAGACTGCAACTAGACGCATATTGAATGTAACCAGGTGAATGTAGACACTGGAAGAATGCGAATGCTAACTCTACCAGTGATGTATGAAATCCAGTTATTAGCTCAGGCAAACTCGGAAAGAGCACGTAGACTTTTGTTAAAGACGTACACCAGAGCTTGTCTGGAGCGCCACCTACAGAATTGGGCTTCAGTGACCTTGCAAACTGTTGAATGCTTACCAACTGCTTACATTCATGTTGTTCCATTCCTTAAACAAATTTATGGTGCATTTTCCCGTATCCCTCCTTTGTTGTACGTTTAGACGTGTAATTCGGGTTCTCTCCCAGAGACGAATATCCTGTCTGCTACGTCAGCTCACCTACTCTGCATATCTATGGGTAGCCAACTGACAGTGGCCTCTAAGTTGACCGGCAACTTCAAGTCCCCGACATTACTGGTCTGTGACATTGTTGTTTGCACGTGACTAGGTTTCACACAGAACTCATTCGTAGCCTCAACGTTATACTCCACCGAGTGACCATTTCTAACTAAGTCATCAACAAGTGTTCGGGCAACCAAATTCTCCTGTCCAAACAAATCACGAAGGATTTCGCCAGCCCTATCATATTCGAGGTCAGCAGGCAACGAAATACCTGCCTCTATCTCTGTCCTTGCCTTCTGCAAAAGTGTTAGATATTGGACAACGTCTGGCCCTTGTCAATAAGTTTGGTCTCTATTGTATTTCGAAACCGACTCATACACAACTGGTGTTGACTGGGCTGTCCATGAAAGTATATCAGCTCTATCCTCGGTGACGAGATGCTGTTCACCATCGAAGCCAAACAACTCGAATCCGATGCAAAGTTGTATTGCATATCGCCGGGTTCAGGTAATCCAGCAGCATTCTTGGTCTTAGAATGACTGTCTGTCCTATCCTCAACTCCTAATGCATCATAAGACGATGCGGAGCTTGATTCTAATTCCCTTCCTAACCTTTTCTCCTTAGACAAAGGTTTAGGTGCCTGGTAACTAACATAATCAGGCCTACCACATGAACCGTGCTTGCTAATACCACCAACGCCCACTTCATCCTCCTTATCATCACACGAGGTACTAGAAAATTCCAACCTATCATCCACAGGCGAGGCTTTCCTCTGATGTCTAGATTCAGTATTATCAACTCGTTTAGCAGCTGGATTGCTGAGATCCGAAGATATATTGGAAGGAGCAGATTATCCCAAATATTGAAACTTTTTTCCAAGGGGGAATGAGTCATATCATCGGCTGAAAGTGTGGAGCGAAACTGAGGAACTTGTGTTACGGCAAATCCACTTGGAAGCATGTAACGAAGATACGAATTTCCAGGGTTCCAACAAAATCCAAGACAATCGGTTGCTAAACAACGAACGTATATTCAAACAGTAAGTGAACTCCGTGTAAATTGTTCTTTACAACAAAATATATGTACAAAACTTAGTTAAAAACCTTCAATTTTGATGGCTACTGAAGTTTCTATCCAGAGCGAGACACAGTGGTGATACTAATCGAGACGAGAGGTTAAATATGGTGGTACAAGCAAATTGAATTCAGCCAAAAGAATAATTCTTCGTGTACACCCATAAGCTGAAGTTTCTTACACAGGATGTCATGACTTACCCCGTCAAAGGCTTTCGAAAAGCCAGGTAAACCGACGTGAATGAGCTTTTCTGCTCAACGGAAAAGTCCAGTAATCCCAGTTTCTTAACAGGTCGGTGTCACATGACCTTCCAGGTGAAAAGCCATGCTGACGGTCGTTTAAGATCGATTTCTTAGGTAGGCGATCACAAAATTACTCACCTAATACTCTCAACATGACCGTCGCAACTGAAGAGATCAGGGAGATTGGTCCATTGTTGGAGGCAAGCAGTTTGTTTTCATTTTTATATATTAGGACAGAAGCCATCCGTTCCCAATCAGACGGTCACCTGCATTCCAGAAAGCAGCATTTGAAGAGGTTTGCTGGTGGGGCGCTCGGAACTTCAGCACACAGCTGGAGTACTCTTGCGTGAATCCCATCAATTCCAGGAGGCCTATCTGCGTCTAAGTTCTTTAATATTTCCATAGTTATAGAAAGTTCAAACTCCGTATGGCTTGATCCCTCTGTAGTACGGGCTTCCGAGAGATGGATGGTTACCCCCCAAAACTGATCCAACGGGATCCAGTATCAACAGTGCGAGTAAAGAAAACTTGTAATTTTTGAGCTCTTGCTTCTGGGTATTCAGGCTCGGTTCCTTTTGTTCGACTGTTCTCTCCCAGTGGTCTCAGAAGTCTTAACGTCTTCTCAGCTCATGGTCTTGGTATTGGTGACTATCTACTTGAAGGTGATTTTCGCGCAAATTGTGGCTTGCTTTTTGGGGGGAGGGGCAACGGGGCCGCTGACAAGGCAACTAACCTCCAACCATTACTGTTTTCTAAGCACCTGGAGGTAAAAATTGAGTGTTACTTAAAAGGTGTCAGAAACAGCGAGAATGAAGAATAACGCGCGCTGTTTGCAAAGGGGAGTGGCTTTTCACGTCCAGCGAGATTCTTGGCATTTTTTGTGGTCACTTATCAAAGACTGTCGTATGTTTGCTTTAATCGGAATGTTATTTCATTAAAGTGGGGCAGGAAATTTTACTGGGTGTTTCTCTGGTTTCTACTACATGGTGAACCGAACGTGTCTTAAACATGCTTGTGTATGGCCGAGTTCCACTTCACTGTGGCCTTTGGCATGCAATGTAGCGAGTGTAAGAGTTGGTTTCACGACAATTGCATAAGCCTCACACTCTTAGCATATAAGAGGTACAATAACTCGTGAAGCGCCCGGCTGTGCACGTTGTGTTGCTCGGATACTCACACTCCGGTAGAAGGAGCAAAAGCACTCCTAGGTACGATAACGAAGAAACTAGCGCTGAAAGGGGAAGCCGACAACTGTGATGGTTATAACGACACAAATCACTGTGTAATATTTTAGGGACGTCCCACGACAAGCTGTAGGTCAAGGCCACTGGACCAGGCTCTAGTAAGTTTCGCATACCCAACTCTGAGAGGCTGCAAATGATCAAGTCTAAACGCCACGTCCAGAAGTCGGTAACAATCGTCGAACCGGCTGTCATCGCTCCACAGAGCAAAGGCAAAGTAGGGCTCCCCAATAGGTCTGCAATCTTTCACAGAGTGGAGGAAAGCAGGGACCCACGTCCATGCAAACGTTTCGAACATGACCTTGACAAGGTACACAGCTTGATAAACCAGCTTTTACCGGAAAACATGCCAGGAGTCACCCCACTCAAGTGTATACAGTAGGCAAACAGGAGACAGTCATTGCCTAGAACAAGTTTCAGCTACTTGAGGGCATGTTCGAGTCAACAGATGAGGGGGATTAGATTTCGAGGAACGCCCATATGCTTCAAGGATCTGGAGTGTCCGCGCGTAAGGCTTCAGGTCCTGCTGACCGGATTAAACAATAGAAGTAGAAGCAGGACTAAAATCCAGATTGGTAGCAGGAGAGCAAGATTTGAGAGCAGTGGGTTTTCGTGTAGTGATTTTTCGGCAACAAATGGTGCTAAAGCCTCTGTGGATAGGACGGAAACTCACTCAGGTAGTTTCACTGTCTTGTACACAAATGCGCTTAGTCTGTTAACAAGGTGGTCTGAGCTTAGTAATGTGATAGGCAAAGGAAATACTGACGTCATTATTGTCCCAGAAACTTGGCTCTCTTCATGGATCAGTGACTATGAAACGCGTGAGGATTGGTTCCTTTTAGGAGCGATAGGTTTGCAGCTGAGGTGGTGGTGTTATCCTTTGCGTTGAAAATACCTTAACTGTAAAAGCCGTAGAAATGGTTGCACATGAAATTGAGACATGTGAAGTGCGAGGGACAAGATTTTAACGTAGTCGTGGTATATCGGAGCCCTGAATGTGAGGCGGTAGGCTTCCTCCCAAATAAGCTGCCCTTTGGACGGATAAACGCCGACGCCTAGTGGTGGGAGACTTTGACGCACCATCAGTTGACTGGGATGGACTAAAAGCAGAAACATCGCGCAACTCGTTTGATCACAGGTTGGTGGAAACATCAATTTCCTCAGTCC